AAGAGCTGGTAAAGCCACATTCTATTAAGGTCACCTGATGCTTCACATATTAAGATTTTGCTTCCTTATGGACAAGTTTGCACTACAGCTGAATTCTTATTGCTATTTTTTGCTTCCTGACATACTTGCATCCTATTATACAATCTTTTTGTGGTCTTTTGTGTGTTCTGAATACAGAATTAACACCCATTTCCTTGAACAGGTGTTATTATATGCCATGTTCACACACTGATGACAATTAAAAGATCTAACAGTTCAACTGAGTCCAATAAAGATTGGTATACTGTCACTGTACAGCATTACTCATTTTACCTGGCCACTATACCCCAGTAGAGATAACTAAGAGGAATTTAAGAAGATAAAACTTATATGGCCATTGCCCTGTTATACCTGTATCAGTACCTGGTACTCCAAAGGAAGGTGAAAACTGACAACAATGTGACAGGATGGTTGAGCTTGCAGTGTAGTGAGGAAAATGTCCTCATGCCTCCTATGCTCCTATACTTCAGGAGCTGACAGAGCCAGGAGAATGAATTAATATAAAACACTTCACGTGTTTTGCTCTGATGCTTTCCGCTCTCCAAGACATGTAGGGATGTAAGCGCAGACAAAATACCTGCTCCCTCCCCCACTTCTTTCAATGAAACCAGAATCCTAATATAAACCCTTTCAAGAGAGGGATTTCTAAAATTCCCCTGTATTGGAACCACACTAATTTAGGCCATTGCCAAAAGGGTCGGATTCCCTATCTCTAGTGACTTCAGTTGTTATGGCTCAAAAGACTGAGAGGAGAAACTCATGCAGGAACATATGCACAATTCTTCTTCAGCTGCCACAGCTAAATTTGACAAGGATCATGAATAGCTGCCCGTAGTGACATAAAACCACTCCCAGAGTCACCAAGGAAAGCAAACTTGTGCCTGCTTTCCGACAGATATTTGCCAAACGAAAATGCAAGATACACTAATTAGTACTATGATATATGTTGGATATATGCTGCATGCTGGCAGATATTCTTTGCTTGGAGAACTTGGTAAAATAGGTGAGAGAGAGGAAAGGTAGAAAGCGATACAGAGATAAACTTAAGTGAAATCTCCAGGGTTCCTTAACAAATGAAAACTAGGGTCCAGGACAAAGGTTTTCTTTTAGGGTTGCCTGCTGAGAACTTTATATAGGAATATTCGGTTTCTCAGGGAGCAGGTAAATGAGAAGAAAGTTAATTTCTTCCACTATGACTTTAGTAAGGAAATAAGCTTCCATTATCTTATTTCTTTAACATTTTCATTAAAAAGTGAAGCTAAACCTGCGAAGGCACACACAGCTGAAACAAAGCTAACCTAAATAACCTCTTGACTGACACTTCATTTCATCAAGGTTAGCCACCAATACATATATATATATTAAAAAAAAAAAAGTTTATTTATACTAGACTATCACAGTAGTAGAACTGTAAAAAAAATTAAACAATTCCATCTTCACAAAGAGAAACACTTCAGCAAACCACCTCAGTACTTCTAAAGGGCAAATGAAAGGAAAATGTACTGGTTTTGACTAAAAATAATTTTTGATCTTCAAACAGAAACTGCAACACTGGTAAGTTCTACTTATTTCAGGGTAATTACAGTGCAGAAACTATCTCACAAATAGATTTTCTCCAAATAACATCCCTATTTTTTGATACTCATTGAAATTCTTTAGACTGCAATTCTCCAGACATAAATTTCCCTCTCTTAATAATAGTTTACTTCTATTCATGTAGAGCTAAAACCAGAAAGGTAGAACTGAAGGCAAAGACTCCACAGGGCTTTGGAAGTTCAGCCCTGAGTACAATACTGATTCATCCAAGGTCTCCCCTTCCTGGGGACTCAATACCTTTTCATCCAGAGTGGCTGTAAACCTCAACTTTGTTCTTGCACATATTTATCCACAATGCTTCTTCTGATGCAGGGGAAAAGAGGAATGTGCCATTGGTTTGTCACAGAGCCCCAGGGATGGACTGAGAAGCAAGCAGTGTGATCTGATCCTAACAGCACACCTCCCTGACTGGGACAAGACATCCAGATGATAAACCTTTGAGATTAAAAGGAAAGTTCAGGACAGTTCTCATTCAAACAGGCATTACATATATCTACCTTTGGGCAGCTGAAGTGCTGCCAGAAGAAGGGACTTGCCCATGTTATTTCCTGCGTCCCTGCACTTTCTGAGGAGAGGACATCCAACACCTGGCTGCGTAATGTCAAGCTTTTCAGGTAGGTAGATCTCTCCCCTGGTTAGGAAGAGCCCTCCTTCTGTTGTGATGAAGGTTTGGTTTTCTGGGGAACAAGGACTCTCCTACAGATACCAAAGTATTTCCTTTAACTACCTAAACATGGTTGCTCTTGCAAGTTGGGTGGTACAGTACAATATGACAGCTCTTCTTTTTAAGTCACAACACTCTACATAATACAGATCCCCAGAGAGATCTGAGTGCTGCATTTTATTGCACTTTAAAAACACTGTGCTAATAAATTCCAGTCTCATATAAACTACATGGACAGAAGCACTCTGCCCGTGTAATCTGCCTGCCCAGTAGAAAACGTGTGTTATTCTGAAAAAGTCCACAGCTGAAGGTTTCTCACTGGAGCGGTACAAATGAAAAGAAGAGATGTGTTACTCTTTCTCCCCTTGGAAAATAAGGGCATTACAAAATATGCCAGACATAATAACCCATGGACTTACGGCTCCATTGTTCTTGCATAGTTTCTTTTATTTGCAAATTACATTCTCTACCTGGTTTAGTCTAAAAACATTCCCTGCAGCTTCTTTTTTATTCTTTCCTCAAAATAACAGTGCCCCCAAAAGTCTTCAGAATTCACTTTTTAAATTTTAAATTAGCATGAAAGCTTCTTTTTGTCTGCTGGAAATTTCTGCCATTTCACATTACAACCAACTCATACAATTATATCAAAACTAAACTGGAAAATTCAATTCTCTCTCCTCTTATATTTTGCAATTAAACAGTTCTTCTGAAGGCTAAACTCCTACCTCACAAAAAAAAAAAAAAAAAAAAAGAACAAAAAAACATATAAAAAAACATATAAAAAGTTACTTGAAAACCTAGCCATTCTGAAATAAAATGAGACATGGAAGAGCAGGTACGGGCCTTAATGTTTTCCGCTCTGTGTCCTGGATCCTCCTGACTCAGAAGAACATGGCTGCTCATCTTGTTGGTGAAGCTTACCACAGCCTTCTTTCCTTCATCTGTTAGGATAATTCTGTGTTACCTTCTCACAGCAGTCAGCTTATTTGACATCTTTACTCATGTCTCCTTCCCAGGCTCAAATTAACCAGTTTACATTCTGTTCCTCTCTCTTTCCTTTCTTGTATGCATCCAAATCCCCTTTCTGGTCTTCAGGAGGGACCTTGCAATCAGTGGGGACCTTCCAGCAGATGGTCCCCAGTGTAATTCTCCACATGACTGGCAATTATATGAATTTCACGAAGAAGATGCTGATTTCAAGGCTCAGATCTGGCCCAGAGGTGTTCTCTGTGCCCCAGCTCCCCAGGAAAACCATTCCTCATTCAGAAGGCTGGAAGGCAGCAGAGGGACAAGGAAAATTGGTTTCCCAGCTTCTAGCTAGATTCAAGTCTCCTCCAATACAGAACGAAATGAAAGGCTTTCTCTAGTAATTTCATGAAACCCTGTTAAATAAGCAGCCAGCATTTAGGTCCATTATGGTAATTTCCATAGTCTGATGCATTCTTGTTGCTAAAAATTTTCAGTGGTGTGCTCACCACCTTTCCCTTATTAGGAGACCAGCATCCCTCACTGTGTGCAGAACTCTGCAATGTACATATCTCATGAGGGCTCAGCTCTTCTCTTTTTCACCTGCTGTTCTGATTCTCCTTCACCTCCAACAGGCATTCAGATATCAACATCACTCTTTGTGAACAGTAAATCCATAAACACCTATAGGTAAAGGGAAATTCTGTTCAGGATATACTAACACAGCAGATGAACTGCCTAACCCTTCCATCCCTCCTCTGACATGGTTACACTTATCTTGGCAGAAGTTATACATCTACTATCTTTATATCTATAAAGTTATTCCTGTATGGGAAAGAAAATCAATTTTATATCCTTACAATCAAATCTCCCCAAGGTGTTTACTGTATACTCTATATAACAAAATCATCTTTCCCAGATGAACCATACACCAGTAAAGCCCTGGTAGGTAGATGAGGATAAATGAGAAATAAATAAGCATATATAAAAGCCAATATCATCACCTGGTTTAAACATTTGCTGTTTGCTGCAGGTGGAACCTCCTCTCAGGAATGGGTCAGATTCATGTGCATCCTGGTCCTTAGCTGGAGCATGGCACTCCCATAAGCTCAGCAGGTCACCCTCAACCTGGAAGTCTGTGCCACCAACTCCTCTTCCTCACTTGGCACAGCTTCTAAAGATAATGCAAGCTCTTACTCCACACTCCCAATCTAACAAAGGGCTACAAAAAAATGCTCTATGAAAGGATTTCCATTTGCATGATCAACCCTCAATTAAAGGATGATGACAAAAGCACAGATTTTCGCAAATTTCAAAAACCTTGTGGCTTAGTTTATTTTCATAGTCCATGAAATTTCAAGCAACCACATTTCTTGAAACACAGACAGATATAGTGGGGTTCATCTCCTGTAATGAAAGATATCTGAAGTTAGATGTCGAAAACTAAGTTGGTCGTTTTATATTTCTGTATAATCAGAGCAGAGAAAGGATGGTTTATCTCATCTCTAGTTGCTAATCTATTGAAGACATCCATCACCACCTGCAAATAATTTTTTCTGTACAAGGGACTCTACAATGAGATGGTAAGCCTTTTGGACATCTACAATCAGGACAGAGTAATTACATCAGCCATGTATTGTAATAAAATAAGACACCCCAGTGCTCTGGTTCAAAATCACCATCACTATTGGATTGGTGTACCCTGGCACAGTTTTGACCTGTAACATCTACCAATATGCCATCTGATGCCAGCAGAGTTATCCCTAGTAGGGATAAGGCCAGGAGTTTTAGAGAGAAGAAGAAAGACAATTTAGCCATACGAATGCACGCACCTCACAAAAACTGGCCAGCAGCCTGTGGTCTGTTTCATTTGCTAATGAAGACATAGTCAAAGAGCTCCTTCCTGTGTTTCCTGTATATGCTGTTTCTGTGGGACAGGCATCTGCCCTGGCCCTGCTCTGAGAAGCAATCCACATTTTCAAGCAGGACCTTTCTTTTCCTAAATGCTGGTGCAGAGAGGATGTAATTCAGCCAGCCATTCTCTTACTTCTCCGATGAGACACTTTCAGCAAAATATCAAGGACTTTTCTAGATAAGAAAGCTCTCTGGAGTATATAATAAAGGATGTGCTTTGATCAAAATCCCAAGCTCATTCAGGTATTTCTTATTCTGTCCTGACCTACCACAAAGCACCTGTAGTATAGGCATGCACACAATTTTTCAAAAATATCATTCCCAAAGAGAAAAAAGACTACAGGGATTCCAGAAAATATAGAAAATACTTGAAAATAGGTCATTCTCAATTAGCACAAGCTGGTCACCATCTGGACCAGGGAGAATCTCCATCCTTTATTGGATGCAAGGGAGAACATTGTTAATTAGGATAAGGAAAAGGCTGAGGTACTGAATGCCTTCTTTGCCTCAGTCTTCAATAGTGGGTCCAGTTACCCTCATGGTATTCAGTCCCCTGAGCTGGAAGAAAGGGATGGCGAACAGAATGATCCCCTAATAATCCAGGAAATAGCAGTGAAGGACCTGATAGGCCAGTTGGACACCCACAAGTCTATGGGGCTGGATGAGATCCACCCGAGAGTGCTGAGGAGGCTGGTGGGGGAACTTGCCAAACCTCTGTCCAGCATTTACCAGCAGTCCTGGTTGATGGGGGAGGTTCCAGATGACTGGAGACTTGCTGATGGGACGCCCATCTAGAGGGGCAGGAAGGAGGATCCAGGGAACTACAGGCCTGTCAGCCTGACCTCGGTGCCAGGGATGATTATGGAACAGTTCATCTTGGGGGAGATCACGAGGCAAGTGTGGGACAACAGGGGGATTGGATCCAGCCAACACGGGTTTATGAAGGGCAAGTCCTGTTTGACTAACCTGATGTCCTTCTATGATCAGGTGACCCATCTAGTGGATGAGGGAAAGGCTGTGGGTGTTGTCTACCTGGACTTCAGTGAGGCCTTTGACACCATCTCCCATGGCATTCTGCTGGAGAAGCTGGCGGCTCATGGCCTAGACAGGAGGACTCTTGGCTGGGTTAAAAACTGGCTGGATGGCCGAGCCCAGGGAGTTGTGGTGAATGGAGTTAAATCCAGCTGGCATCCAGTCATAAGTGGTGTCCCTCAGGTCTCAGTTTTGGGACCAGTCTTCTTTAATATTTTTATGAATGACCTAGATGAGGGGATTAAATGCACCCTCAGTAAATTTATAGATGACACAAAATTAAGTGGGAGTGTGGATCTGCGGGAGGGTAGGAAGGTTCTGCAGAGGGGTCTGGACAGGCTGGAGCAATGGGCTGGGGTCAGTTGTATGAGGTTTAACAAGGCCCAGTGCTGGGTCTTTCACTTCAGTCATAACAACCCCAGGCAATGC